ATAAAGTTACAAGTAATACAGTGCTGTTTGCGTAGTCTGTCATTAAAAAGGTAAGCAAAAATTCACCGAATCTTTTGATAGAATATGAAGCAAGAGAAAAAATTTCATACAAAGTTGTTGATCAGTCAGAAATATTGAGACATTTCGTTCTTAGTTCTTTCACTTTTTAGAAATCGTGTAAATTATATACTAAATTTGATTAAACCGTATATAGACGGATATGTACTTTTAACAATAGATCAAAACATTTTCTCAACGGTTCTGTTATATTGATAATCGGTTGTTTGAGGAAACTGAGAAGGTAAGTTACGACGCGACGTACACGTATTTGCGAAACCGATTAGTTTATCGTTGCGGGGATAAGGATGAACGCATAAAGCCGTGGGCTAAATTTGGAGTAACTCTCTTGCACGTAATGTATACGTAACCTCGCTTACAGTATATGCATTTCAAATTAAATCACGTGGCGTGATTGGACAGTCGCGTAGGAGAACCACAGAGTTGGTTGTATGGTATATATGCTTGCGAGAAAACCTTTGGGACGTCAATGTTACAATTCCGGAAATCGGCAAAATGTCAGCTCCTAATGGTACATTAACCTTAGATCTGTCCACTTACTGAAATCATTGCAGAACTACATTTCATATTTGAATTTCTACCTCTTTTAAAAGAAGAATGAGAATTGTGAAAACCTTTTATAGACCTTTTATGTTTATGGGATATTTAATAATTAAATAATATACATAAATTTATGATAGATAAATTTGTATATGATTGAGCTAAATTATGGACAAAATCTATAATTATTAATTAATTACAATTCATTTAGGTATATTGCTTATTATTGGGAATATATGTACACGGAGAGAATTTTTTCTTAGAGTTTATCCTGAAAATATGATAGTCGTGGGACAACATTGTATTTGGAAGAATTTTAATGTAAATCTCTCTCATTCATTAATAAAACTACAATAAAATATAAAATAACTTTGATCAATTTTACTGAAGTGCATGGTAAAAATCTTTAAAATATTGTATTGTACAACAACTACCATATTTGATTAAATTTTAAAAGAAAATGCTCTCCGTGTATATCATACAGTAATGTGTTTTATTAAATTGTTTTCTATATTAAATTTTCGAGTAATATAAGTAGAGAGAGAGAGTTCAAATTTTCAACTAATTTAAATCGAATATTCTATTTAATTTCCTAAAAATTTTATATTCATCACGCGATATGTTGATGTCTGACATTGGGCAATTATAGAGAACTCTTTGCAAAGTTGAACCTTCTGTGTTTACCGTTACACCGACAACTTTTGCGAACTTTCGGGGAAAACTTTTTAAACTGTCGCACGCTAATCAGGCTTCTTGTCTCAATCATGAATATTTCTGACTTTGTGTCCTTGCTTCCAGAGTGTTGACTCTTTGACAGTTTCGTCATAAAATGATATAAATTATTTTAATTTATTATGTTATACATTCTTTGAGATAGAAATTTATTTATTTTTTTAGATAGAATGACAGGTGCAAGATATAAATGTCAAAGTCTTCCTTTCTTTTCTCTTTCTCTCTCTCTCTCTCTCTCTCTCTCTCTCTCTGTTTTTCACATTGGCCTTTGCTTTCAAGAGCGCGCGACATCGTTGCTATATTTGGTGCAATTGCCAATATCGAACGCCAACTGGCAGTTACACTGCCTGAGCAACGATAAAGTTATATTCGTCATCGTTCGCGCACCGATCACATAGATCGCTGTATTTATAGGAGACATAAATAAATCATATAATGTACCGCGTTGCGATATTTATAACTTTTATTTTGGAAGTACACTTGCTTTCGAATTCTTTTATGATCGATAGTTTGTGACAACGAAGTGCATTTTCATATAAATATAATAGAAAAGTATACAAACTTTCATCGCAACTTTCGTGCTATTCTGCATTTATTTATTTATTTATGTGTATCTATTACTTCGCAGTTATATAGTGCCGATACAAAATTGATGCGTCTATTTATCTGATGTACATATCTGATATTAGGTGAAATTACATGACAACCATCGTTAATTTTAAAAAGTTTTCTTCACTTTATCAAATATCGATATTTTAATATATGAAAGAAAGAATAAGAAAAAGATAACTGTGTGTATGTGTGCGAAACTTACTGTATATCCTAATATTAACGGGAAGCTTTCTCCATTAATATTGCACGTGTGGGCATGTTACGTACTAACCAAGCTTTGATCATAATAAAATTTTTACCACGTTTTGACTTTTTGACGTATGATCAGAAAAGGTGCACAAGGGAGTGAGCCATATTTCACGTCACCCGCTTTTCTCATAAAACTCGTACTCATCCGACGTAGCCAAAGGGTCTGACAGATTCATCAGCGGTTCGATTTATTTTTTCCGCCGAGTTCCAATCGACCGCCATGGTCGTTCATGATTTCCCATCGCATCCTCCCACCTAAACCTTAGAAAATATCACCCGGGCATTGCACGGAAAGTGAAAAACTCGTTTCCCGAACTACGTAATAAATCGCGGCAGCCAACAGTCAGGCAGTCCGAGTGCAACCAGTGCAGAAAAGTCATGCCACGAGAACCGACGCAAAACGGTGCAAAGCAATGCCGACGTTCAAGTGGCAACAACCTTTTCATCTTGGGTCACGGATCTCTACGTGCGATTTCAGCTTTTCTTAACACGCTGTTTGACAAGCAGATCTTTCGAAATTCCGGAACAAATCATTGGTATTTCTACCTCAGGAATGTGAAGGAACGTGAAGCTACGCGATGTAGCATTAGTTGCTTTCCATTTACACACAAGTGAAACTGAGTCTGAAGTGAGAGCTGAGTATTTTATACTCAGATTAATGACGTCACTACTTGTTTACTTTGGTAAAAAGTTATCACATGTCAATACAGGTTCATAACCTCGACTCACTAAAGCACACGGTCTCGATCTTGTGCAGATTATGGGTAAAAACTCAGTTGAATCTCACTTGTCAGAATGCAAAAGGAACGCGCATTCAACTAAGTTATGACTTCACAAGTGAGAATTATCTGAGAATCGGTGTAAATGGAAAGCAGCTATAATGATATACTTGTTCGTACTGTCTAGGGGAAGCTCGCGTAAATCTTGATTCGTCGAGCTTTAGATGTTCTGTTGTCACCCCCTAATGTCACCTTCGTTCCTGTTTTCTTGAATTTTCTCTTTATTCTACTTCCTTAGCTAAATCACTCGTTGCAAATTTTTCTATTCTTTATCTATTAGAATTTACATATCTCTTGTTATTAATATACCGTATTCTTAGAAATTACTAAATATTTTAATTTTCACATGCTTTTATTACTCAACAAATAAAAAATAATGCCTATAAGCTGGATCTTAGGTGCTTTTTAAATAATTCTTTTTTAAATAATGTGAATTTATATATCACATTTGTAGTCTCTTGAATTGCGTGTATATGGTATATAAATTCACATGGAGAATCATTAAAAAAAAACACTTAAGATCCAGCTTTCGCTATTATTTCTTATTTGTTGTGTATTCACATTATACAGTCTTAATAAATTGTTTATTATTGTTTATTACGTGCAAACAAGCACTTTTGGGAAAGATATATGATTTTACATATACTGTCGCTATCTCGGTCACTATTCACACCATCTTTATTCGATTAATGACTTCTGTGACTTTAGCCATCGAGTAGTCAAGGCTAAATCATATCGCTTTTGCGTCGCAACTCTATCCCTAACTCATTACTCTATGTACATAGTAGTTGCAAGGTGTGCTAAAGGTCGCATCTCTTCTCTTCACTTCAGTTAATAACGATAAATGTTGACTGCCACAGACCACCTTATACGGTCGTACACGGGACTCGTAAGATCTGAGCGTCGACGGAAATACGTTTGGGAAATTAAGGTGCAAAATTAATATTCAGTACGGTGGCGACCTTTGCGGTCGATATGCGGTCACCCACGGTTTCGTATTTGTTCACGATGTTGCCTCGGCTTTGTCAAGAACATATCTTCCACGACCACCATTAACGATGACGAATTGCATACTGACAAATTATCCATTCGTAGATTTTTTGTGACCTTAGTCTCCAGAGAGATTGTTCATGAGGAAGAAATGTTAGCGTAAAATTAATTCCTTTTATCGCAGGTAGGTATGTATCGCAGCGACTCATTCACGACAGATGGAATATCGCGCAGGGAGTGCCACCGATTAATTAGGAGCTGTCCAAGCGACTGTGATAAATAGGTTGCGTAACAGGATCATTAAGACCTCGGAAAATTTCAACTGAACTTGTAGCGCGGTGTAATTAACGTGTAATTCATCGTTCGCTTGTAAATAATTTCGATATAATGGTTTCGCGTTGAGTAATAGATTTAATATCCAATACATCGCGGTACGTGAACCCTCAAGGATTAGAGTAATTTCGACATTAATCATGGGGCATCAATAAAACAACAGCGAGTTATTGAAAGCAGCTCGAATCTCATTGAGGTTGTAAATCTGAATTCCCGAATTAATACGAGTAGCAAATTGTTTTTGCGAGTGCAAGCCGCTAAAACATGAACTTCTCGGCTTTGCCATAAGCCGCGCTAATTTCGGCATTGTATTCGCTTTAAGTCACGGGATCACAAACGTTCTCTAAGCACATGAACTGCGGTAATCTGTGTACAGTGGGACTTGCGAACACCTGTTCTGTTTCAACACTGAGTGTAATTAGTCAATTAGTTACCTTGGGCATGTTACGAATTATGGAGATCTTAAATATAATTATAAATATCGGTTTAGTATCACAAAACTTATCACAAAAATTATAAAATATATCACAAAACTTTGTATTATTGATTTTATGCTCTCTTTCTTTTGTCATGGTGAATTGATATAGATGATTAAAAAATTTATAATAAATGTCTGATTAATATTCCATTTATCATCGTATATATATTATATATTATACTAACAGTGTGTTTAAAATTTTATTTTAGCTGTACAAGAGGAGATTTCTTGAAGCTATTTTTACATCTGGAGAGTAAAGGCATTTCTGAATACACCCCTTGGTCTGGTGTGCTTTGCGGAGAACTGCGTGACATCCCGCAAGTTCTTTACAGCTCGAGATCAACACTCATTCTGGAGTTTCACACACAGTTCCCATCATCTAATGCTACTGGCTTTTCCGGCACTTTTCGTTTCATCGATAGACGTGAGTTGAAGTTTTTATACAAGATTATATAACTTTTTAAATACTAAAATAATAAGAAAATTTAATAATTATTCGTGAAGATATTAGAGTAAAGAGTCGCAAGCAGAATATAAAATGCTATTGATTATGTAAAAATCTTAATAAAGATTATTGCTGCCAAAAACGAAATGCGTGCAGCCATTTATCAAAAATCGACATTTCCGATGAAACGAAGCCGTCGCACATTCTTGGAAAGCTTAAGACAGAAAATAAACTGTATTAAGAGTGACGGTATTTTAACAGAAACTTTTTCGTTTCTCGGTCTGGAAAATTCGTTTGGCTTGAGAGAGTTCACTCAACCTCGAGCTACTGCGTTTATCGAGAAATTTTAGATCTCGTTTTACGAAACTCTTTCAAGTTCACTTCTAAATCACTCCGCAGCTCGATCGGAAAATTATTTCAAAGTTATCAGGAAATCGCTACGAACGATCTGTCATAATAAATGCCTGTTTCCAGGATGATTTTAATTAACACGTACGCGCGCACATATAATTATACGCCCGCGCGTGTGTATGTAGCATATATTATACATAAAAAGGTTATGTATTTTTATGAAACACAAACTGTTAAAATTAGTAGTATAGTTTTGTAACTTAACAATAGATCATTATGAATTTCTCTCTGGAATAATAAGCTACCTGTGGTCTCACACACACACACACATACGCGCTCGCGCGCGCGCGTTAAATTAAAGTCGAAAATTTTTAGACTGTACGACCAGTTTAGAAATTTTGTAGATTTTAAACTGACGGTTCGTTAGTAAGCGTTTCACGTATATAACTGCCCGACACATGCTTTAAACATGCTGTCCTGCAAACTTTTTATTTTACTCACGTGTATGCAGTCGGCTTACGTATGCCGCGAATAACAGTGACATAATTCTCTCATGGTGAGTGAGAGTTCCCTCTACAATTTGGAATCATTTCTACGTCTTTTTTTCTACACAGGATGCAGCGAGATTCTCTTTATGTTTCTACAACTTTCCGCGTGAAATTTTATACTCCCTATACAGGGTGTAATTGAAATAACGCCCACTAATCATACAGTGCTTTTCCTAATAAAAAACTAAGTCGAAAAGTCCTTTACCATTTTGCAATTTTCGCAATAGTTAACGAAATATTAATTTCCAAATATTGACGAATAAACGGATAAAATCGATGTATAAAACAATTTTAAGATATCTTTCCGTGTTCTTTGTGAAATATTTTGAAGATTTTTCTTAAAGAACTCTTAAAGATATATTCAAGCTGTCTTATACATCGATTTTACACATTTTGCTATTGGATAATTAAAAAATATTGCAAAAATTGAAAAATGGTAGAGGACTTTTCGTTTCAGTTTTTTATTAGGAATGCACTATGATTAGTGGGCGTTATTTCAGTTACACGCTGTATAAAAAATACAATATCTCTCGTCCAAGATGCGACCAAACACGTGTATTCTGTTTTTAATACCAATCTGATCATTATTGTTGAGACTAACTGTAAATCATCTTTTTCGTTATTTGCACACTGAAAGAAAGGATTTTGTTAATTTAGCAAGCCATCAGTATCTTTAACCGGTGATCGATAAATATGTGACAACAAATTTTGTTGTTGTGATTGCTGCTAGTCTGCTATACCAACCAATTATTAGTAACAGAAACAAACTATATAGAATCTAACTTATCTTTTGGATAGACTTTAGGCTCCTTTACATAGAATTCGTAGATGATCGTGGAATCTTAAGTCGTAGGAAACCGACCAAGCACAGTCAAATATAGGAAGAATACTTGACTAAAATTAGTCAATTTCTTACGATTTGAGACCCTGCAACCGTCTACGACTTATATATATATATATATATATATACAGGGTGTCCCATTTTGAATGACAACCTCAAATTTCTCTTGAATAGTGCATTTTAGAGAAAAATGTTTCAAACAAATGTTTTGTGACTTCGAGGGGGACATAAAATGGTATCATTGGTTTGATCTTGGTGGCGTTGTCAAGGTCAGGGCAAGGTCACTTCGAATTTTTTAAATGGAACCTTCCATTTCTCATTATATATTCTTGTAACTTACCTTGAGAGCTTTTCAAAACACTATAATAAAATATTTTTTCATTAAATACTTTGCGAGTTATAAGGCTTGAAAGTTATAGTACCGTCGGCACTAACATTACCCAAGATGTCCGACCGATGGCTAAAACCTCTTGAATGTTGTTCAGGATTATGGCCTGGATAACATTTATCAAGATCAAGACCATTGGAAGTTGTACCTCTTATTTTCATTTTTACGTACAAATGAATTTTTAGTGCAAAAATGAAAATAAGAAGAACAGCCTCCAATGATTTTGATCTCGAAAAATGTTATCCAGGTCATGATCCTGAACAAAATTCTTGAGGTTTTAGCCGTCGGTCGGACGTCTTGGGTAATACTATAATGCCGGCGGTATTGTAACTTGTAAGCCTTATAACTCGAGAAGTACTTAATGAAAATGGATTTAATTATAGTGTTTTGAAAAGCTCTCAAGGTAAGTTACAAGAATATATAATGAAAAATGGAAGGTTCCATTTAAAAAATTCGAAGTGACCTTGCCCTGACCTTGACAACGCCACCCAAGGTCAAACCAATGATATCATTTTATGTCCCCCTCGAAGTCATAAAACATTTGTTTGAAACATTTTTCTCTAAAATGCACTATTCAAGAGAAATTTGAGGTTGTCATTTAAAATGGATGCTTTCCCTTGATTTGTTCCTATAACAAAATCATTCCTCTCAGTGCATATTTCTGTGCATTTTAATACAACATCTTAATTCTTACTAAATGTAAACAGTAACAAACAAGATTTATGAAAAATTAAATAAAAGCTAAAGAAATAACAAAAATAATAACAAATATTGATGAATAAGCTGCTATTGATGGCTATTATTTAATGTTTTTTATATTATATAATTTACAAATTTAATTCAGTTTCGTGGAATGTAATCAATATTTTGGATTACATATTACATATTTGTCGGTATTTTATCAAAGTTTACAATTAAATACGGGATAAAGCTCTTGATGTATCATAAGAAAAATACACTTGTGCCATCCCTATTACCCGGGAAACGTCACGAATCCATTTTGTTCGATCCATCATCCAACGAACACGTCGTTGGCATATAAACGGGAAAAATGATGCTATCGACAAAAGGCATATCTCTTTTCTCTGTATTTTTCCACGCTCTTCGTTTTCAATATTTTATTTTTATTTATTAATCACAAATTTTTATTTCCTAACTTATTGCAACCAATAATAAATTTAACAAATTATGTAAAATATTTTGGAAATTACATATGTTGTCATATCTACTAATTATACATTAATTAAATCAAAGTACAATTTCTAATATAATACGTAATTCGAACCATATAAAAATTTGGAAAATGCTATAATTCTTATATTTATATATTTATAAAACTTTTAGATTTTCAAACATTAACTTTCGTTGTACAATGTCTATTGGATTAAATCGAGGAAAAAATAGAACAAAATTGAAAAGAGAGACCATTTATTTTTAATATTATGTACAGCTAAAAAATGTTCAATCATATATAGATGGTAACATATCAATAACTTGTTGAAGGTTTACAATCAGTAGGATCATATTTGTGTCAAAAAATTATACTTCAAAGTGATTTCAAATTAATTTTAAAAGACTTTATAATAATTTTTTATATATTAAAATATTTTTATTTGTTATTTTTAAGCTTCTAATGAAAGAAGTTTACATATATTATTAAATATATATTAAAATTATTATAAATTTTATTGTTATTTACGATTGCAGTTATTGTTTTATGATTTTTGTATCTTTTTCTATACGTCTCTTTAATAATAGTACTTTTTAGTGCTAAAATTGTAACATTAAAATTGATAAGATAGTAGTTATACCGCTATAGGCTAATTCATTTATTACGCTTCTTCGCCCACAATCTCAATCACGGCCAAATCCGCCAATTAATGAGAAAATTGCGAAGGCGTCTCCTTGGTTGCTAAAAATATCTTTCCACGCTTCTAAGAGATTAACAAGGATATTCCCGTTTACCTTGGATAATTACCTGAAGTTTAACGCGGCGAGTTTGATGAATAAGTTTCTATATGCTATAACGTGTCATGTTATTTTACAGGAATTGTTACATCCTTGTTTATACAATTTAAAATCGACAAAAATAAATTTCAAAATAATTTCAACGACAGAACATAGAGATATGCCAATAACTACTTACTATGCACGAACTTATAATAGGCGAATAATTATATCCCTCGGGACATCCGAAACTATGGAAAGTTATAGCCAAAATTTTAGCAAGTCCGAATGCTTATCGCTACTGATAAAATGTGCCATAATTGCAATAATCTAGATAGAGAGGAAATATGGAGCAAGTCGAAAAGTCCTTCGGCTATTTGTGCGGTATTGATTATAAAGTAGGAAATTTAGTCTAGACTTTTCACAAGTTTTCTTACCGGCGGCATCAAGCTAATTACTTGGGGAGCGTTGGGCTCGTATCGAGATATCGACTTCAACTCGATATTCCGTTATATCACGATCCATTTTATATTTTCCGGCAATTAAAAGACATCGAACTAATAACATATTTTGTTATTTGTTGCGCTCGAATGTCTTTAAGGAAAATACTGTGTAATCGATAAATTTAATAATGTAAAATTTTCGATTGCTTTGTTAAAATTCTTTATTGAAAATGAGTATAATTTGTATAGTTTGGTAAAAGAGTCAAATAAGTATAAAATTCGATTTAAAGATAATTAAAATTAAAATAATTACTTTGGCATTAATTACATTGTTCGAGACAAAGTTGGACCTTCTTTTTTGCAATATGAACGTTAACAATCATTTTTTACATATTTTTGTCTGTTGAACGTAAATCTATTGACAAAATTTGACTAACACATCATAATTTTGAACAAAATGA